CCGAGATGAAATCTACGTAAGAAACGTTGCCTTGTTTCAAACAAACCTTTTATCTGCGCAAGTGAACGCAAGTTAAATGCGTTGCGACACAATTTATTTAAAATACAACCAATGCCGCGTGGTTTTCATACATTTTCACAATTCGACTGACAGCTCTTTCGAAACGACGCGCGGCTTAAAAACGTCAGCTCGTGCGTTCTTTTGTTTGTTATTTTTTTTTTGTTTTTGTTTTTATATTTGTGTGTATAGAAAATACAATGCCTGTACCACACGAGCGAGAGATTAATCTAACCGAATGCGCGCCGGTTTTGTTACTTTCGCCGCCTATCATCCGCGATAACGCCGTCAATGCCCGTTGCCGCTCGGCGAGAAAATTATTAATTGTGACATCTCGTCAATATGTGACAGCGGCACAGACGACGTCGTAAAAAGCTGTTGTCGCGACGAGTTATAGGAACGTTGGGAGTTTCGCGCGAGATAGGAAAAAATTCAACAAACCATGAAAACATACACACACACACACACACTCACACGTGCGCGCGCGCATTAATATTATTTCGAACGGGACAAACGAGTTCAAGTAGATTTACGACTGCGACACTTCCTGAAAAGAGTCTCTTCCCATTTCTCGTGTGTCCTCGCTCTTTATGACACTTGTTTACGGGCATACTTAAACTGCTATGATTTAGTGCTCGTGTTATCGGTTGCTGCGGAACACGGATTTGAGAGTGGCATCGACGCGGGATCGCTGCCGTTCGATTGGCCGGAAGCTAAATTATCGTCAGCGCTATATGCGAATGTAATAAAAACCGTCGGGTCAGACAGATGCTAGTTGTGCGAAATTACGTGCGTTATAGCGGCGAAGAGATTGAGTCGGCCATTTTAATTAACATTTCTCATGACATGATATTTTTTATCACGAATCGGAATTACCTACCTACGTAACTTGCGCAAAAAAATTTCGCCATACTTTTTTTTTTTTTTCTTGTTTTTAACGATATCAGCGTAATAATGAGAGATAGAAATTGCGTTCTATCTCTTGACAGCATAATCTGAATTCTTTATGCTCGTGCTCGGACGCGCGGATATAACAATGGGAAATTTTTTATAAGCCTTTTTCGCACCCGATTAACGCGTTTTCAATGTTCAATAGACGTCTCTTCGAGTTTTCGTGAATTTATTATCGCGAAAATTAAAAAATCATAAAGATCTCTCGATTAAAACAATAGATACGTATAATAAAGCTTTTAATTATTAAAAAAACATGTGATTATTTTTTTCTTGTCTCTACGTTATGATTCGATATCTTTTATTCACCGCGCTCTCCCACATCATCGGTGAGCCAGCGTGCAAAAATCGAACGATACTAGGCAACACACCGCTGCAGGGGAGGATGCTTTTATTATTCTCTATCTTCCAAGCCACCAAATATTCAACCTCTCCATCATATTCAATTAAAAGCCTTTATAAAATCGCAAGCATATACACGCGCGCGCGCACATACACACACACACACACACACACACACACGCGATACTCGATAAAGGCTTCGAGAAAAAGAGTTCTCGCTTGCGGACGGCCGCGAGACTCGGCTGTAAATCGCGGAATTGATTTTATGGACGCGGACGCTAAACGGATTAACGCCGAGCGGAATCATATTTGCACGTTTCTCGAGCGAGTATCCACGTGGTGACCTAGATCGATTCTAATCTGATCGCGTCGGAGCGAAGGAGGGTTTATGTCGAAATTGTCCCCGTTGGCAACCGGCCGCATTGACCTTCCTCCAATAGTCCCCATAGGTTTTGGAGATGGAGGAAGCATCCTAGCTTAAGTACCGCCAAGTAGACACGCTATATAAGATATGAGAAATGGCCGGCGTATGTATTCATCGACCGCGCGCATCTGAATACCCCGACGCGGTTATCAAAACGCGCACGGGAGAGAGACCCGTTTATGCAGCCGCCACAGTGCACTGTTTATCGACGATGGCGTATCGAGGCTGTACCGAGAGAGAGAGAGAGAGAGAGAGAGAGAGAGAGAGAGACCTCGGGATGCAAATGACTCTCGTACATCACGTCGAGGGTACACGTTTATAGACAAAGGAGGTACTTACCCGGCAATGTGAGCCCATAGCACGACGGACGAAGACGTAGGCTTGTCCTCTCCGCGTTGTCTCTATCACGTAGCTTCTTCACGTTCTTTCAGCCTAATAGCAGATTTTTTATGTGTGTCGACTCGAAGGGAAAAACGAAGCAAGATAAATAAAACGATACTTTATTAGAGAAACGTAAAAGCTCAAATAAAAAGCACGTTGAAAAAATAAAATACTTGGAATTTTTTAATTTCTAGTTTTTCCAAAATAATGAACTGAGTTTTTCACGATGACAACGTATCAATTCCCAGTGTGCGGAGCCTCGTTTTAAAAATGAATTCAACCAAAAATTCTGGCCGTTTAATTAAAAATGCGACGGGGGAGTAGAGGTCGGGAAACGTTATGCAAATAAATGATCCAATCTCTTTTGGACGGAGATTTGAAACGAAAAGAGAGAAAAAAATTCGACCGGTCGCGGCCGGAAAGAAAGAAAAAGAGGAAGAAAGGAAGCGGAGGGTCCGCGGAATGAGAATCCCCATGTGTCTCCCACAAATAATAATCGTTATTTCTCCTCTTTTAATTGTTTTACGAAGTCTGGTACAATTGGATCCAACATAAACGAGTAGTCGATACTTGTTTCGTTTATATATACATTAATGGTACGTTCGTTAGTTTAACATCCTTCGAGTAGTGTTCGCTAAAGAGCGTACGCTGATCGCTCGTGTGCTAACAAGTAATTGATCTCGTTACAATCGGGTTAAACTTATGCGCTACCACAGTTCTTCTCGTTCTTTTGCTTGCGAACTCGGACGCGGGCCCGAGGTGGCTTTTGCGCGGGTCGCGCGAGTGTCGATTAAGTCGCGCCTGCGTCCGTGAGTTTTCACGCTGTTTCATAATCTTTTCCGAATATACAGAAGCAGGATTTAGGGCGGCAGCCGCGTGCACGCGAAAGCCATTTACAAGTACTAACGAGGACAGATCTCGTTCGGCGTATAAAAAAGCACGGGGAAGAGTGGAAAGATGAAGTGTCGAGGGGAGAAAGGAAGGAAGGGGATGTGCCGAGGGGATGGTGGTTGATTTTTTTTTTTTTCAAGATTCTCGTTCTCTCGTGCTCGGCGACGATCGTCAACAGGAAGATCGTCGTCGAGGACGCGTCTCGTCGTTGGAAACTTTTCTCCAGGAACATACAACCACGTCGCGCCTTTGCTCGGTCGTAACGGGAGACCTCTTGGTCGCCTCCAAATGTCGGAAGTGCGCAAGACTTCAATCACGATCTCGTCGGAAGATCGTTTGGGCTTAAAATTACTCTCGGAAAAATATATTTTTCTATTTTCCGAAAGTACACAAACTTGCATTTTAATAACAGAAAACTGTACATTTCTATTTGTGTTCGTATTTTTGAATGCTTCGCGAGACGAGTGTGAACGATTGGCTGTCAGATTCCTCGAGGATTCTCTCAATGACAGAATTTCGCATCTTGCGCACTTCCGGTTCGCACGGGAGAGCCGTTCGAACTCAATTACGATAGCGCGCGATCGGAAGCAATCTTTAATTTTTTTTTTTTTTTAGTTTTATTTTATTTTTTTGTATTTACAAGGCTCTGTGCTGCATCTTCGCTAATTACATATCTCTCGGGAATCACTTCCTAATCTTTGACCGTGTCGATTTGCTCGAGATAGATCAAGTGATTTTCTCTCTTAATCGCGAGAGTGATTTTGTTCAGCGCGATAATCATGGCAAAACAAACGTCGATGTCACGTGTAATTTTCTTTCCTTTCTCAGAGAGACTTTCCGAGAATCATCTTCGTCAATTTTTATGTGGAGCAAAAATATATCTGCCGTTCCGAGAGTTTTTGCGAACCATGATTATCGAGACCCATGTACAAATTTGATATTTGATCGATTGAACGAAAGTCTCTCGTGTGACAGTTGCGTTTTAGCTGACGAAGCACTCGATCAATCTAATAGTGTGAATTAAGTAAGAGTTACATCGTGGTTCTTAGTCATGCCGAAGAGAGTTACAGCGATCGTTTATTGTTACGTTCAAGAAGGTATGTACAGTACGGCTATTCGTGGGTCGATTGCGTTGTTGATATATAATGCGTATCCGAGACGTATAAATTAAAATTAGCACCTCTTCTCCTCTCACAGGCGCGAAAATCGCTTTGTTCGAAAACAGAAAGACAGAGCAGATCAAATGTCGCCGAACGAACTCTTTACTAGGGTGGCTCTTATTTTCAATTTTTGAATTTTTTTTGCCACACTCTTTAGAATGGTTCTTATTGCTAAGAAACTAATCTGTGAAAAAGTTCAGCCCGATGGAATAAAAGGAAAAAAAGCTTAACATTAAAAGAAATTAAGTAAATGCATAATGAATCGATTTTATTTAATCATCTCTCAACTTATTGATTATATCGACGAACATGTTAAACAAAAGTTGCAGATCTGGGTCAAATGTATATTTTATCATGTGTCAGTTTTTTCGTACGATTTTCGACAAACATCTAAAAAGTAAAAATACCGTTAGTTTGATAAGTAAATATATATCCTTAATATAGGCAAGTTTAATATTTACTATGTAATTCTTAAATTTCTCACCAGAGTTCCCGAGTTATTGTTATTATACTTTTCTTCTACATTTTGAGTTCAACCTAGATTCAGACAGATATAATAGATCTGTTTTCTTTAGCTGATTTTTTTTGCATCATTCATCTTTCCTCTTTTTTCTTCAAAGTAAGTTGTACGAGAAAAAGTAATAATAAATGATAAAAAATCTACTTCTAATTCAGATCTACAACTTTTGTTTAACATGTTTTTCGATATAATCAACAAGTTAAGAGATAATCAAGTAAAATCGATTCATTATACATTTAAATAATTGTTTTATGTTTAAAGATCCAGAGACTCCTTTTTCCCTTATCCGATCGGACTGAACTTTTCCACAGATTATTTTTTTAGCATGAGACTATTCTCAGAGACGCCGCGAAAACAATTCAAAAAACTTTTCACCAGAAGTAAATAAGAACCACTCTACTCTTCATTCATTTTTTATCGGTACGTTTTTTATTTATATAAATTTTCATGTGTCATTAATGTGTTTCAAAAAAAGTCGTTTAGTTTAACAGAGAGACAGCGAAAGAATATAGAAGTTCATAAGAAGATGAACGGATATTAAATTTTTTATTAAGATGTAACAAAGTTAAAATTAGTGAAAAATCTTTAAATAATCGAAACACGATTCAAACACGTATACATTTTATAACACGACATAAAATGTGGAAGCATTTCTCGAGCAAAAAATACTCATTCTCCTATCACAAGAGAAATGACGTTTTTACAGAACTTACATAATATATGTGTTACTATCTATATTTGCTTTATAAACTCTTGTAACTCTTTTCTGTAGATTTTTACCTACAGAAATCTGATATAAAATCGCACTATCACGTAATTTTCTGACTCGCTCGCGACACAGAATACAAAAGAAATGCGAGAAACAAAAAAACAAAAAAAAAACCTAAACAATGATCAGAATTTTTCCGGGAGTTCTCGTCGACTCTGTACCAATACATGGTACATCTGCTTTTCGCACGGCTGAATATTTATTGTGCGACGTCATGTCGTGCATTCCTCGAAAATAGTACCATCCGTGATGCATTATTATATATTCGAAATGACATTGTTCTCTCTGTCTCTCTGTCTCTTTCTCTCTTTCTTTCTCTTTCTCTTTCTTTCTGTATCGCACGTTGTGCCACGTCACACACACGTTTGTGTGAAATGCGCCTCGGATTTGTTCTGTTACGCCGTAACCGACCCACTGCGATCGGAGATCTATGAAGACGTATACACGGATAGACCAGTACGATACGATTTTTTTTTCCTTTAATCACTTAAAGCTTAACATTATCTTAACGAACGCGAGTTTTATCGCGCGTCTATTTTTTTGCGCGCGCACACAGTCTCTCTCGTGTTCGCACCGCGCTCTCCACGCGCGCGTATATTTTCGCCGGAGTATATAATAAATTCGGCGCACAAAGTTCCCGCTTCCGGGGCTGAATCTCCGCCACACTCTCGATCCGTCCGCACTTTTCTCGTCGATTATGTCTCTCAAACTTCATGTCCGTGACGCAAAGATTTTCTTCAGCTTATACGATGTCGTTCTTAAAAGCACGCACACACAGATAGGATGCGCACTTTTGCGCTACTTTGAAAGAATTTAAAATCAAATTGCGCAGTGAAGAAAAATTAGCGATAATTGAGAGATAGTACATTGAGAGATACTTGGGAGATTTCAGACTCGCTGGATCTCACGGAGACAGAGAAATTACGATGCTAAAGTTACAGAGCTTCTTGTAGCGTCGAGATCTCATCGAGAAATTAGCACGCGCGTCGAATTAATCGTACTCGCGACGACGACGCCGTCACGTCGCCGTGCACTTCTGTTTTCCGAGATAAACTTTCCGTCACTTTCGGCGTGACCGATATATTTCCCGGCTCAAACGGCATTCGTCGGATGCCGCCGACTGAACGCCGGTTGGAACTTTATTCGAAGAACATTCCTGGGAGCGTCAGCTGGCTGCGTTAACTGCGACCGCATCACTTGACCGGGCGACGTGATACAATCTCGATCGTCTCGCTCGGAATGCAATTAATTTGATATATATATATATATATATATATATTTGACGTGTACGAGACGCGACGAATTGAACGAATGATCAAATTGTACACGCGACACAACATATAAATGTTCCGATGAATAAAGATAACAAAATTGGCGCGCGTGCAAATGAAACGGCGATTAAATTTGCCAGCCGATTAAAACAACCAGAACAGCTTTGAGTTGATTACGAGAGAAAATAATCTCTGAAAAAAATTCATATCCGTAATTAAAACGCGAGATGAAAGCGCAAACGTCCGCTTTAGCATAATCGAGACCGCAGTTCCATATATCGAGAATATTATAACAATTTCCGCCTGTGTACATCGACCGGCGCTGATATTTCTCTCCCGAGAACGACGTTACCCGTCGAGCTTAGTTATATAACTTATCGAGTCTATCATACACGCATACACGGATAGGTGACCGGTCTCGTGGCCGCATCGAGGATCGACGACCTCCGGGCTCGTAAATTCCGCGTCCTGAGATGCAAATGGAACGCCGAGGCGAAACTGCGGGCGTCCGCCCTTGCCAAGCTACGAATTTCGCACGGTCCGGGCCGCATAATTCAGAGATACTTCAGTGGCTTTTTCCGTTCCCTGGCGAAATGGAGGGGAGGAAAACCGATTATTGTCGTAGCCGATTCCGTTTGCTGGTCCGTGGACCAGACGCGACGCGCGGGAACGAGTCTGAAGAAATATTTACTCGGCGGGAAAGTCTCGCATAGAGATCAACTGAAAGCGTTAGAGAGAAGAAGAAAGTTACGATCTTCGAAATTGCTTGGGAGAGAGAATTGAGTTTTCATTCATTAATATAATTAATCTGTAATACATTCTATTTCTTTTCTATTGATACTCTCCTCTTCGTCATCGTTTAGATTTGAGTAAAAGATATCGATCTTGGCCGGTTTTTATGATGAAGAAAAACGAGAAATAATTATTATTTGTATTAAACTAGACAAAATGTAGAGATCAATGAGTTTTAAAATCTTGCAATAGTCTGAGAATAGAAATGATATTGGAGATTCGACACAAAAAGAATGTAGTCAAGAACACAGAAACCAAAGTGCATCCTCCGGGGATTTAGGCGACATTTGTGTATCACGCAATACATGTATAAATAAATATATATGTGCACATACACAGAGATTGAAAGTTCGCGCGAGCGCGGATAAGTCGGACAAACCTCAAAATATTTGTTCTCTTCTGAGGGAGAAACGATATACCGCATCCGACGACCAGAAATTGAGTGGAATTTCACGACGGTTTTGCTGGAGCGTATCTGGGTCGAGATCCGACGCGGGCACGAAAACACGTTGGGTTCCTTACCTCTTCTCTGCGACGCATTCAGCTGCGTTCGTCGATAGATCTTCGCGCGTCCGCCACGGGCGCCATCCCGGAGAAATAAAAAAACAAGATGCTAATTTCGTCGTCGTAAAAGAGAAATCATTCGTTCGCTCGTTGTCGAACTCGCAATGCTGTCGGTCATCGCGGCGCGCTGCATCGATAAAGTCCAACGGAGCTGCAAACCATGAATCCTACTATGTGGCGAGAGAAATACGCGCGATCGTACGGGATACAGAGGTTTGTTGCTTAAGGAAACACAGTACGGACAGGGTTCGTGCGCCGGAAGCGAGAGCGGAGTTGGCGAACTCTCTCTGCGCGCGCGATTGTTGTTAGCCTCGCGGCTAACACATATTAGTCGTCTCTTTTGCCTCTCTCTCACCGCGCACTTTACCGCTCCGACCGCGAGTCGATCGCGGATGCGGAAAGAAGAATCGGAGGAGGCTGATTTATAGAGTCCGGCAGGTGGTGGTTAGCGCGCGAATGGTGCTTCTCGCCCCCGCTGATCACCTCCCCTTCTAAGTCTTTCTTCCCTTGTTGCACCATCCTTGTTGTCGTCGTCGCTCCGATCTCGCCTCTGGGTGAGACTGTACTCTCTCTCTTTACTGCAGCGCCTCGTGATCGACCAGTCACCTCGCGAAGGAACCGGCGTGCAGGAGCAACAGGAGCAACGCGAGCGTTCGCGTGGCCGCGCCGCTGTTGCTGGAGTTCCCGTGCTGCATGGCCGCCGGATGCTCCCCTGAAACCCAAGAAAGCCGCATACACATAAATTATTTTGCTAACGGGGACTAGGCGGTCGGAGATGCTGCGAATGGAAAATTTACATCGCCGCTCCGCTTCTCCCAGAGTAACTTGTGAGGATAAGAAGAATGTATACATCATGTCGTACAGAGAGAAAGAGAGAAACTTCGCGCGCGCGCGGGATTTAAAGTCATACCTACTTCGATAAATAAATGCATTTAAAATCGAGACGCTTTTTCTCTTAATGTTATGTATACATGTATATTTTATATATTGATAATTTAATATTACAAATTAAAATGGTAAAAACACTCAATATATAATATTTTTGTATAATTAAGTTCGCTGACACAATTCTACCGAGTTGTGCATTATGCATTTCACTGCCTACAGCGTTATATTAGAATAAATTTCTGTGCACGATAATTAAAGCACTAAACTCTAACTGTGTATTAGAATAATCACGAATAATTAACCGTAATTGTATAAAATTAGCACACACATCAGCTTACATTAGTAAATGCAGAACTAGGCAAATACGTAAATATTTGAATCAATGAAAAGCGATATATTGTATAGACAATTTCGTGTTTATACCTGTTTTACAATTGATTCCGAAATTTGAAATGCGGCAAAGCAACGACAAATTGTCGATTATTTCAAGCGTAACATATGTGTCGAAATAGTACAAACAAATATTAGCTGTATCAACTACATATACAAATTCATCGTTTGTAAAATAATTCAGAAGCCGTAATTATCATTAGGGGGACGATTTTTATAAGAGACATGAGAGTAAGCGAAGAAAAACGGCAAAGACGATTCCGTAAAACTTCCGCGGAAATGTTCCGCCCGGGGGCGAAGTCGAGCTCTTCTTCACGTGCGCGCGCTCGCGTATCGATTTTGGATAAATCAAATATTTAAGCGGACATTACGTTAGATATTGCAATAGCGGTACTGTTTGTCCCCCGGTGGCACGCAAGAAACCGGTGAGATTCCGGGGAAACTTGCTGAGATTCCGCTTGAATGTTGACGCCGGCGGCGTTTCCGCGACGCGTCTCTCTCTCTCTCTCTCTCTCTCTCTCTCTCTCTCTTCTTCTCTCTCCTTCCCGAAGTTTGTAGCAACCGGGCGCATTCGCATACGAGCGCTTTGCTGATAACAGCGCAAGCGCGTATAAGCCTCAGCGTGTATATATAACGCGCGTTGCAATCAACTTCCACTTTGCCGAAGTCCGAGTATAGATGCTCCGCGGATCTCCTTAGAGAACCTTACGCGAGAAACCCTTAGATGCCGTATATCTCCGGTAATCACTTACCGGCGGTTCGAACTTGCCGTCGAACTACGTAGAGACTTCTTCCCGCGGTTCTTACGGCGTTACGTAAGTGTCTTATTCGAGAACAATGCTGAACTTGTTATTAATGCAGCGCGTTGAGCGCGCGACGTCGCAAAAGTTCATTATCATCGAGTATCGTTCCCACGAGCGAGCACGAAAGCTAACGTTTAAGTACGTTATTTATCCAGTTTCTTAGGAGTGTATTATATAATATATCGCGAGAGAGACCAGTTTTTCAGTCCGCGCGCTAAATGAACCGCCGCTTATGTCACCGTCATGCGTCCCCTTATTAGAAAAAAGAGAATAGTGAGGGTTCCGATAAGAAATAACGGCGTCGAGCTCACTGAGCGGGATAATCTATATATATATATATATATAACTTTTTTATGTGTTGTTTTTTTATAACAAGTGCGCTGTGTATACTATATATGGCAAAAAAAATGTTAGAAAAATAGACGCGTAACTTTCATTATGCCAAGCATCACGTATGAAGCAACAGCGTGTTTTCTTCCGGACAAATTGCAACAATTGTTCGATGCTGATCGAGTTCGAGAAAACACGCCGAGACTTGACCGGATGCAAGGCGCTGCATCCGAAAGAAGATTAGCGAAAGGGATCAAGCGGCGCGCTTCGCTCGATATAGGGTTGAATTTCTTTCCGTCCTCTCTGCGACTCTATATCCGCACACTCTTCTTCGCGCAGAAATCCATCCGGCAGGGATGGATTTCTGCGCTGGAACATATTTTTTTTTTTTTCTCTCTTTCCCCTCGCCGTGCACCAACGTCCGTCTCGAGCGCGAGCTAATTTACGACTCGCAATTCGACGAACGACCCCGCGGCCGCAAGAAGCGCTCATTTTTCAGCGAAAACGAGCATCAGCGTCTCGGGGAAAAAAGAAAGCAAGGACGAGGGGAGAACGGAGGGAGCGAGAAAACGACTCGCGAAACGGCAGCTCGCGGAAGTAAATCGACAGCGGACAAAAGGGCGGGAGAGGAAAGAGGAGGGATAAAACTGCTCGGAGCTTTTCGATGGAAAGCGGCATCGACGATACGCGCTTTACATCCTTACGAGACGCTGATGTAACGCAGCGAGACGCCGACGCTGAGTGCTTACATAAGTTTAAACGCAAAATGCACGTCGCGTGTTGTTGTCGCGCGCAGCGGAGTGTTTAGGATTTTAATTTATTATACAAGTGTGGTGTGTGTGTGTGTATGTGCATGTGCATGAAGCACCCACACAACGCACCGTCCATCTATCTTTTCTTCCCCTGTAAACAAATGATTTTTCTTCCTGCTTTTCCGGAAGAAATTCCTGTATAAGAACGTCACAATAAATAACATTTCAATGTAACAAAAATAATTTCGTGAAATAATTTATCTGCATTAAATGAAAAGAGCATGTTACAGTAACCGTGAAATCGTTCACTTTTCAGAATTATTCGCGTAATAAAATTTTCAAGCACAAAAATGCGCGTCACAATTATGACAAAAATAAAATATATTAAATACATTAAAAAGTGTGCACGAATGAAAAAGTAATTAGAAAAAATAATTGTGACAGAAAGATTTGTGAAGCTGCAATAGTTTTTCATTGCGGTAAGATAATTATATTGCTAATTATCATTATATAAAAAAAGGTAGTGTCTCATGCATATATATATATATATATATATATATATATATATATATTTACTCATGATAGTGCAATTAGATCTAATTGCGTCCAATTAACTTCCATACTATAATGGGAGTTTTCTATTTTCGCATTCTGCAATGATTAAGAGCAAGAAGAGAAAGTCTTATTTCTAACGAGCAACATCTTATTGAAAAGAGCCTGGCAAAGCGAAACGAGAGACAGTGCAAGAACGAGAGAGATGGCCTATTGCCTTTATTCATAAGGCATTAAACTGTCTCTCATAAGCCGTGTGCGCGCGGAACAGCATCTTCTCCCGTTAGCTCTATCGCGACCTATTATTTCTCTAGATAGTTTTAATTGCGCAAAGAAAGGAACGGAGAAATGTAAATTGTTAACTCGCATTATTAATAAACCCAATGTTTTTGTAATCCGTACGCCGCAATTTCGCACCGCGTACAGAGATGCATGCTAATGACGCGTTTTGATATTAACAAGCGTAATCGCCGCGGACCGATAAATAAATAAACAACGACGGGAATCGACGGGCAAATACGCGCTTTAAAATTAAACAAAACTCGAAACGACAGCGCTGTGTACTCGTATTATATATACACGTATGTATGTATATATACATGTGACACAGAAATGGGCAAATTTCCAACAGCGCTCTCTTTCTCGTGGTTTCTCGACCGTTCTCGCCCGAGCGCGATGTAAAAAAAAAAAAAAATAAAAAAATAAAAAAATAAAAAAATATACGGGTCACCGCGAATACAGCGCGAGTAGCGCGAATCTCGTAGAATCGCGAGGCAAGCCCGTTGGAACTGTTACACGCTACGTTTCCCTAAGTATCCAGGAAAGCCGAGCGCTCTTTAAAATCCTTTCATTGCTTATTCGGACGTGGTAATTATTCCGGCACTTTTACGCGCGCCACACACCACCGTCACTCGAGCCGGCGCAAGTTACGTAACATCGTCCATGTAATATTGGCCGAGCTCTTGAATCCGCGTTAGTAACAGCGGATAACGCGGCTGACATTGATAGATTAACTCGCGACCGAGGGTAATTGTCGAAGAGAAAGAGAAAAAGAGAGAGAGAGAGAGAGGGAGATGAAGAGAGAGAAGAAGAGAGGGAGAAGAGAAAATCTAATCTCGATATCGGACCATCGTTGTCGTATGCTCGCAAATTCTCTCGTCGCAAAAGCCTTTCCGCGTTTCCAAAATTTGTGCAATTAACGCGCGAATCCGATTTCGGAACTTTCGCTTTAGCATTTGGCACGGATTCCTTGTTAGAGCGCAAATGAATCGTATAATGAAAATATGCGTGCTATTCGGTCACTCGAACCACTTGATTCTGACCCTTTTTAGGACAAACGCGGACTACGTTTTGCGCAAATAATACAATAAACGCTCTACAGAGACATTCCGCTGGAAATCCTATTATTTTCATCACGAAACAGGGTACACTGTGCCCCGGGGGCACGGCGACGCGCTGATGCAATTATCTCCGACCGCAGTGAGGGATAGTAAGTTGAATGTCCAGCGCGCGCGCGCGCAAATAGTTAAACACAGTTAAACTTTAACGCTTTCATCCTAGATTCCTGTTTATAAATTACAACAGATTATCATTTCAAATACGCTCTCTCTCTCTCTCTCTCTCCCTCTCTCTCTTTTTCTCTTTCTCTCTCTCTATTTATCTACAAAATGCACAAAAGGCTTGATATTTATGCGTTCTATTTTATGTACGCGCATTCAAGAGAGATCGTCTTTGACTAATACGGGGAATTCACCAAATCGCCTTGCAAAATTGACAACATTTGTGCAGAATACGTTACAGAGATCGATGTCAAACGCGCATTGCAGTATACAGCGCGGGCAATCGATCATACGTACCACCGCGCAGCGATCGATCGGAAAAGTAGACTCCGGCTGCGCCTACATAATCGAGTTTCAACCTAGGATCCAATCGAATTCGATTAATCGCAGGATTGGCAATTTACCGGCGCTATTTGCGGCCGAATTAGCGGCTCTATG